ATGCCCAGCTAATTTTTTGTATTTTTAGTAGAGACAGGGTTTCACCATGTTGACCAGGATGGTCTCAATCTCTTGACCTCGTGATCCACCCGCCTCAGCCTCCCAAAGTGCTGGGATTGCAGGCTTGAGCCACCGCGCCCGGCCAAAAGCAATATATTTCATCCAAGACAGCGTCTTCTTTTTCTTTCTGAGACAGTGCCTCACTCTGTTGCCCAGGCTGGATTGCAGTGGCACAATCTTGGCTCACTGCAACCTCCACCTCCCAGGCTCAAGTGATTCTCATGCCTCAGCCTCCCAAGTAGCTGGGATTATAGGCATGTGCTACCACATCTAGCTAATTTTTGTATTTTTTGTAGAGACGGGGTTTCACCATGTTGGCCAGGCTGATCTCGAACTCCTGACTTCAAGTGATCTGCCTACCTTGGCCTCCCAAAGTGTTGGGATTACAGGTGTGAACCATTGCGCCTGACCTCAAAGTTTCTTGATAGAGTAAATAGAAGCAATTAAAACACTTAACAATTAGCTGACAAGTACGTCACCGGTTTCCTGGCTCTAAACCAGCCGGCACCAGGGACTGGTTTCATGGAAGATAATTTTCCTATGGCCGTTGCAGGGGTGGGGGATGGGGAGGTGGATTCAGAATAAAATTGTTTCACCTCAGATCGTCAGGCATTAGAGTTGTGTTCCTTTGATAATCTAATGCCATTGATCTGACAGAGGTGGAGCTTTGGTGGTAATACCAGCTTGCCCTCAGCTCATCTCCTGCTGTGCGCCCCTGGTTCCTAATAGGCCACCAAGCAGTACTGGTCCATAGCCCAGTTGGGAAGCCTTGCCCTAAACTACTGAATGCAAGGCTCTCAGAACAAGCCCTTTACTGGGACCTCCTTATGGTATTTTGTTTTTTCTTTTTTTACTCCAGGTTTTGTCTGTATTTTTTTTTTTTTAACAATATAATGTTTATGTAAATTCAAACTATCTTTTGGATGTTACCATCAGCTTGTGTAAACTAGCTAGCTTTTTGCCTGATTCTAGCAGAGCAATCTGGCCTTTTTTTTTTTGAGACAGAATTTCATGCCGTAGCCCATACTGGAGTGCAGTGATGCGATTTTGGCTCACTGCAACCTCTGCCTCCCAAGTTCAAGTGATTCCCCTGCCTCAGCCTCCTGAATAGCCAGGACTACAGGCGTGTGTCACCACACTCTGCTAATTTTTGTATTTTTAGTAAAGACAGAGTTTTACCATGTTGGCCAGGCTGGTCTTAAACTCCTGACCTCAGGTCATCTGCCTGCCTTGGCCTCCCAAAGTGCTGGGATTTTTTGAGACAGAGGTATTGCTCTATTGCCCAGGCTGGAGTGCAGTGGAACAATCTTGGCTCACTGCAACCTGTGCCTCCTGGGCTCAAGCAATCCTCCCACCTCAGCCTCCCAAGTAGCTAGGACTATAGGCACACAGCACCACACCTGACTAATGTTTGTATTTTTTGAAGATACAGGGTTTCACCATGTTACCCAGGCTGGTCTTGAATTCTTGGACTCAAGTGATTCGCCCACCTTGGCTTCCCAAAATGTTAGGATTACAGGTAATAGCCACCACACCCAACTGCACTCTGGCCTGTGGCTGTTAAATTTGGTGTGTCCTCCCCAAAATAATCAAGTATTACATCAAGACAGGATTTTTAAAGCACATGCCTGTTAGATAAAGAATAACGCATGTGCACAGGAAACAGCACTGCATACTGAAGAAGCCAGTTTGTCAGTTTATGCAACTTGCTTTGTATGCACACAGGTATATATACAACAATGTAACAAATGTATCAAATTTGAAACAGAAATGTATCAAAGATGGTATCTTACTTGGTGAGTGGTTGGTTAGAAAGCAACTGCTTAAGGTGCTGGGACAACAGCTTCTTTTCTAGAGACAGTCTTATCCATGCCCGAGCTCGTCCAACATCAGTCTTGATCTCACTCATGTTCTGAATATGCCTAAAGAATAGTGGCAACATCAAAGATACAGATCTTAAGGATAACCCTGACTAGAAAAGAAGAGTGAATAGTACTGGATACAGAAAGGATTCTTTCCTACTTAAAGGAAGCAATGGATAATATACAATTGATGTTAATTAAATCTTTGAAGGTTCTATCTGAATCATGAAGTTAGTCTCACATCATAATTGCCATTACAACACAAGCACATAGACAATGTCGTAAGGTAAAGCATTTAACACCCATTCACTCTTTCAGGCTTTATTATGTCCTTGTAGCAGACTCATAGATACCTGTAAACAAGCATTTGGTTATTCCTGATTCTCAAAAAAAAGTAATGAAACAGGGTGAATACTTGTTTCTTTTCAAAATAATTGTTCTATAGTGTAATTGAATATCAGCCACAACTTTAATCCACTGAATTACTTTTCAAGTTGCACTGGACAATATATGGAAAATATGAAATTTTACTTTCTATGGCATTAGAGAAAATAAGTTAGACTGCATTGATAATCTTTAATTGGTTAATTATTTTTAAATATTTTTGAAATACAAGGTATTGCTATGTTGCCCAGGCTGGTATCAATCTCTTGGTCTCAAGTGATCCTCTGCCCTCAGCCTCCCAAAGTGCATGACTCACTGCACTTGGATCTTATGACATTGCTTTAAACCCATACACTGTTAAGAGTTGACTAAGTATTGTACCTAAAATATTTAAATGAAAAAAGTCTCTGCATTTCTCAATAAATCTGTTAGATATGGCGATGTCTTGTAAAGATTTCTTAACAGTAATTGCAAGTCATGATTCTCAGATTCTGTATTTGCTTCAAACTAAGTCTACCTGATTGCAACTGTTCTGCCACACATCCTGCCATTATTTGTAATTTTTTTTTGTATCAGTGGGTAGTAGGTATTTAAGGGAGTTTTAAAAACTGAACAAGAGAAGCTATGAAACAGTTTAGGGTGGGCACGATGGCTCATGTCTGTAATCCCAGTACTTTGGGAGGCCGAGGTGGGAGAATCACTTGAGCCCAGGAGTTCAAGATCAGCCTGGGCAACATAAGACTC